AGATCACATTATCAAAAACATTTCAGAGTAATCTATATTCTGCTCTATACATAAATTGCACTAGACAGTATAAAGATCAGCATTGTATAACTTCATACCTTGATTAAATCCTGGTCGTTAGCTTTACATAACATCATTTCATAACCAAACCGTGCGAGTTCTGTGTGCGAGAGAGAAAGCACAACAAAACAATAAGCATAAGAAAATAACAAAACAATTTGAAACAGAGCAGACCGAGATTTTGTTGGATCTTCTCTTTGTAAATAAATAAATATCAGAGTAACAGATATACTTATGCAAAACTGAAACAACTTACTTATTCTAACCTGTGCTTACTAAAATATATAAAAGAAAAAGTTATCATAATTTTATTTTAATTAAATTACAATTAGCGATCCTTATATAGAGTCCTTTAATGTTATCTAATGATTCTTGTTCTAAATATACCTGACAAGTTTTTAAACTATTATTACACTGAATGGCATGGTAAAAATGTACGTAGTCATTATTTTATGCTCAGAAAAAAATAACTTTAACAATACACATTCTAATGTAGGGGGGGGGAACCTAAATTTAAAGCTTAAAATGTACATTTAAAACGTATTGTTTTTATGCCTGAAAACCTTTTTTCGTCTTTGACCCATACAAAGGATTACCTTGAACTAAATCCTCATTCTGAGTTGCTTTAATTGTGGAAAACTTCTCCTTTAGGGATGGACAAATGCTTTGTAAAAACACACAAACAAAGTAAGGCATTTTAGTACACAGATTTGCAAACTACACATTTGTCATCATTCTAATCATGTTTGATAGTCAATCAGGCATCAGACCTGGCGCAAATCCATTTGAGTATATCAGTCCTGTGTAATGAAGGAGAGCAGAGGAGCTCCCGCACACTGTCCGGCTCCCGCAGGTACAGCCCATCCACCAGAGGACAGCCCAGACTCTGAGCAGTCAACACAACAGTTCAAACAGCTCATCTAGTTATTGTGTTACTGACACTTTGCTCTGGTTTCTTGTATTTGTCAGCTCGCTAAACAGATACATATGCAGCATACATTGAGCCTGACAGAAGAAACGATAACGTTAACTAAACCAGCAATTATATCAAGTACTGTATTTTTTTCTATTACACAAATGGTGTACTGAATTGTGGACAAAAGATAATATCTTAAACTATATGTTATTTTAATTATGTTAACCGTTACACACACAGCTGTTGTTAGCTCCTAAACTAGCAGCTCACAGACCCAAAACACTAACGTTACTACAGACCCAACACAGCCAGTTCTGAATTCGCGAAACATCAGAAAATGATTGTGTGTCATTGTCTGTGCGTGGTGTGTCTATTAAGATGTGTAAACTACCTGAAGGGTGTTGTAAACTCGCACAGACAGCAGCTGCTCTTTTGATTTGCCCGCCATGTTGTTATTTCTGCAGCTGAGCGAGTCCAAAGCTATGCGTTTGCGTCATTCAGCGCATGCGGCTACAGCGACCCCCGGCGGCCACAAGCATATTACAACGAAACACGATCCACAATAGGCTATACTGTAATTATACAGGCCTAAGTACGGTTTATAATATTTACCTTGAGCATTATAATAATTGAGGATTTGAGCATTTTTGTTTGGTGATTCAGTAAAACAAATAGTGTGGGTTGTTCATTTCTTATATTTCAGGTATGGATGTATGTATGTATGTGTATGTGTTCATATTTCTAAACATCCCCAAACTGTTTTTAAATCTTCATTTTAGATCATATGCAAAGTGATTTATCATTACATCCCAAAAATTTTTTGCTGGTACAAATCAAATCTCTAATGTACGTATGAAATTTTCAGCAGTGTTGCTATAAAGATGCAATAACCAAGAGGGAAAAAAAAATCAAACATTTTACTACATTCTCTATTGTGTCCCTTATGTAAAAAGGTGTCTTTCACATAAACTGAGAAAAAGACAAATTCATAGTTTGTTCAGATGTGCTGCCTAAACATTACAAAATATCACATGAGATCTTTTGCTGAGATATGATATGGAGTACAATGTCCAGTAAGTTGTTTGGTAAATACATGTCGATGACATGAAAGGCAGGTTGAGTGGCAATACAATCATGTGAGCAGTCCTTGTGTGCTTATACATCATCAATGAAGTTTAAAGATCTGGTCTGAGCGAGTGCAGTTTCAAATATTACACTGCCCCTGAAACAAGGGGATGAGATGTAAAGTTAGTACAGTCTGAGAACTATCCCGACGTGGGAATAAAGAAGGGATAGATGTTCATAGACGTGCAGATTTCTCATTGGGACATTACCTCAATTAACTTAACTATAAAAATGATGGAAAGAATGAGTATAAATCTATTTTCTAATGATACTTTGCTGTTACTCTGCTCACCCTCCAGACTCAAATCCCAAAGCTGTGATGAAGATGTTGATAAGAACAGTAAAGAACACAAACACAGTTGCTGCGTCATTCATTGTGTTAAGTCTCGGCTGATTCTTAACATCATTCAGGTCATACTTCACTGAAGGGAGCAAGAGAAAACACATCAGTGTTACATCAATGAAATTACAGCAGAATAATTTCAAAGAGATAACTAACCAATGAAGATGAGCAGGAGGCCAACAATGACCTGCAGTGAGATGGACAGTGAGATCAGAGCGATGAGAGGAACGTAGAAGCGGTGCTGTGCTCCTTCCTGAATGCAGCACTGTCTTCAGCTGAGAGGAGTTCGCCATCAGAAGAGCCACATCCAGCATGCTCTGCGCTGCACTCTTCTTAGTAGCGTAATGATTCATGTTGAAGCGATGCTGTGCGTTCCCTGCGCCAGGAGCCTGACAGGGAGTGAACATTACATAAAAAAATCTATTGGTGAACACTGTAAACATTCAACATAATTTATATTATATATAAAATATGAAAAATTTGTTTGATGATCTGAATCTTTTAAGTGTGACAAATATGCAAACAATTAAAAAAACAGGAAGGGGGCAAAAACTTTTTTCACACCACTGTATATATATTTTTTTTTTTCACCAGCCAAAAATAACATTCTGAGTTTTTAAACGTCATTACATGATTATACTGTAGTAATACTTAACATGTAATGCATTTAATATTAAGTAATTATCCTACTTGTTAAAGTTCACATGCTTAAATACGTATAAGGTACATGTAGTATCAAATAATATCATATTTTAGTAATATTCCTACTGTCTCGGGGGGTATATTAGTACCTATAATGTACAGGTACCATCCCTGTAATAGCTTTTCTACTTTTTCTGAGAGCGTACATATGATTTTATTGCTAAGATGATGAAGAAATCTGCCGACAAATGCAATACAACATAGGTTTTTAAGTTATTGAGTAATTGAGACCCCAGACCGGAGGGTTAATAGCCTATATGTGCATGATATGATAGTGCTCAAACATTTGTATCCAGAATATTGAGCTGAACATCAAAATAAGTCTTGAGGGTTAGTGCTATATACTGAAACATATACATTCAAGTTCATACAAATATAAGTGTTGTATCATATGTGTAATCATAATTTTTTTATTTCCCAAGAACATAATTCACAAAGATCCTCATTTTGTTCAT